TCGAAAGAAGTCGAGTACAACGAATTAAGGGTCAGTTAAGACCAAGAGAGAATGAGAATACGATTACAAAAAAAAAAGATCCAATTTAGTAATTGCAGATTTAAAGTCAGCACGGAAATAGACTAAATGAAGTTTGACAAGAAAAGCCGTCTACCAGCATATATTTTTATATCTCATGTCACGCTATAATCTACGCTACAGAAAGAACACTATATTTATTCCTATTAACTTTACTACTGACAAACTTACAGTTTTCTCCAAAGTTCCTTGGAATGAACAATATTCCACTCTAACTCTCTCTCGGTTCAGCTTTACAAATATTTCACAACAACTACTCATACTACGTGACTAAGTCCTTATGTACAATTACAAAGCATTCTAGAGAATCCCGGAAGCTTACAACACGACTATTTTGGTAGCATTACATCATAATTACGTTCCAGAAAGTTCCATAGCATGCACGTCAGCATAGAAATTCCTAGATATTTATAATACAGTTATCATCTATAACCCACTTATGATACCATTAATTAAAAATAACTACAGTCACAAAACAGTTCATTTTTACGCCTTAAACTCTATTAGCAACAAGAAACAATCAGCATTTTTAACGTCCAGCCAGGACAATCCTTATTAAATCCTAATTAATTATTATCCTAATTAAAAACTCTAGCAAATATGACGAAGGGTAAACTCTTTTCAAACGTAATTGATTAATTCTTCACGATGAAAGTCTCTACTATCATTCACATATTCAACGATACCTTTCAGGTATTACTAAACCAATCTACGATACGAATATACTTCTTATTTTTCAATTTCCAAGGAATTAAAAAAAAAACAAACAAACAAACATATACACTGCACTTCCGCGGATGAACGTCCGGGAGCTTATTCAAAATTTCTACTAAAAAGGAGGAGGGCGCGTAATTGAGGGAGGTTCTAATTAAGAAGGTTTACAGATTCCGCAGTTGTTGTAGCTTAACAATAAAGGAGAACAAAATAGAAGCTGTTGTTCTCTAAGTACCAGATGGTCGTCTCTCAGGCGGGCTTTCAACGGTTTCCTCTTCATCTGAGACCTAAGACGCAGGAACAAAGAAAAATCATGAAAAAAAAATTTCAGGCATGTGATGGTTATAGTTAACCTCCCAGTTATTTAAACCCCAGTTTCTATGGAAAGGCTTGGATTGTCCTCTGTGCGGTGCTACGAAAAGTAGGGATTTAAAAGTTTCAGCACAGAACGTTTGAACATTTCTACATCCTGGAGAAACATTGTTTTTGTCTTATCACGAGCGTGGGACAAAGAGAAAATTATGAGTTCTGAGTTCTGAGGAATCGAACATTAAACCTTCGGATTCCACGCTCCGATGCTACACCACTGAGCCACAAAGACTCCATGGAGAGCGAGGCCGATCACAAAGGTAATACTTATCATATAAACTACGGTATTAATCAAGGATTTCCAGCACTGAGAAAAGCCGGAAAAACACACGTGAAAAAGTATCGTATTTTCCACGTGTGTCTGATATCGCCAATCAGCTGCTGACACGTCACTCGCCTTTCGCGCCCATGTATTATTCTGCACTTCTTTATTTTAATCATAACCATTACAACTTCCTCAAATGTGATTGGTGCAGTAGCTGCTTTACTTTTCACTAATTATTCCGTAGAGTTATAATCGGACAGTGTAAACGGACAGCTGGCTGTAATCGGACAGTTGAAGCAACCAATCATACCTAGTTCTTTCGGTCAAATCCACCAATCACAGAATTGATCACAATAACCAACCACATCCTAAAAAAGTTGTGGAATTTCCAAAGTTGAGGAATTTTTTACTTAGACATTGTCACTATTTTGGTCTCTCAAATCAAAGGGCGATCTAACAAAGTAACCGCGTACAGCAAGCCATACCACAAAGTTCATCCCAAATGAAGTTCTGTGATATGTAAACTTACAGTGCTCCATGACTGCTCGTCACCACTTGCCTCACCACAACTGGATGCACTCAAATTGTTGACACGAGCCCACAGCTGACGATTTCTCTGAAACATTTTTTTCGTATCAACACATTAATGATTATTTTCAAATCTAAGCTCAAGTTTTGATTCAACTTAAATTCCGTGTCTGTTCCCACCACTAGCACATTACAGATAATTACAACATTGCCTATGGATGGAATTAATGACAATGATTTCTTAAAGGATAGGTATAATCTAGAAACCACCACATTTTCATCTTCGTATTCAGCAAGTATGCGTTCAAAATCTACAACTTGCCGCAGCTTGAGAATGTAATGAGTAACTTAACTGCTTAATCCTTCACCATACAAGGCGCCATTTAAGAAAAAACAAACAAACAAACAAACAAACAAACAAACAAAGTTACAGCTCTGGTTATAGCAGAAAAAATTATCTTTTGAGTCAAAAATGATTTTTGGTTGAGTGCCTTAAAATCTTTGAACCGATCACTCTTTACCGCTAAGAGTGACTGACATCTAATTTCTACCCACAAAATTCCTCTTAAATCAAAGATGAAGGTCATGAGAATAGAAGAAACTATCACTAACAAAAAAAGTTCTTAGTTATGAACAAATTTTCCGTGCTAGGATCTTATGAAGAAATATAAGAAAAAAATTATTGATATGCATACCGCTGTTAGGGCGTAGAAAGGGTTAAAATCAAACTAATTGTGTACAAACAAAGTATAATTTGAAAGAAATGTAAGTGATTTTTAAACTTATCTAATGTTTTCCCAGCACCCCAAGTGGGTTATCATGCCGATAAACCGATAGAAAGTGTAGCCAATTGCTTAGTATTAATAAATTTTGGGCTCTTCTATCAAAGAGTGTTCTAACAAAATAACCGCATACAGCAAGTCATAACACAAAGGTCATCCTAAATGCAATTCTATGATATGTTAACTTACAGTGCTCCATGACTGTTCATCATCTCTTGTCTCCAAACATCTGGATGTACCGGCAGTGGGAAAGTTTGTCACAGCCTTTGCACCCAAGTTATTGACACGAGCCCACATCTGACGATTTCTCTGAAACGTTGTTTTCAAATATTTAAATACCACCGATTCTAAGCTCAAGTTTTGATTCAGCTTAAATTAAGAGTCTCTTCCCAAATCTCACAAGACAGTGTTATTATCATAACTGTTTGATTTCGTAAAGGAGAGGTACAATCTAGAAAAAAAATCATTTTTATCTCCGTCGTTCAAATCTACGACTTACCACAGTTGAAGAATCTTGAAATTAACGCAACTACTTAACTCTTGACTATGGAAGGTACCAGTTTGAAAAAAGCGCAGTACCCTGGCCATGCGCAAAAGGCGTGGAGCACTGCGGGTACTCCTCATTTGAGTGGCAAATGTTTTTTTTTTGAAGTGCCTTACAATCTTTGAACATATCACTCTTAACCACTAAGAGTGACTGGCATCTAATTTCTCCCAACAATATCAACCCTGGATCAAAGATGAAGGCCATAAATATTAGAGGAAGTGATCACCGAAAAAAGAAACTCTTGATTGTGAACAAATTCTCCTTGTCAGGACTTTATAAAGAAATGTATGAAGAACAATATGGAGGATTTGCATACCGATGTTTGGGCGAAGAGGGTTAAAATCACGCCAACCGTGCACAAACAAACTATAATAATGTACACGAAAAAATTACGCGGTTCTGATTCGCTGGAAACGTGTGCATTCTCATATAACTGGAGTACAAAGTTGTAACGCGAGTGCAAAGTTGTAACAGGGTTGTAAATTACAAATAGCGCGCGCACGCTCTCAAAATTTCGTCTGTCTTCACTTTGTGTGATGTTTTTTCATGTACATTGTAAATTTTTGAAAGACTAACTCGTGCTTATTGACATCAAATTGCATTCGAAATCATGTTATTGCCTATATTAATTTGAGAGAGAGACACGTTTAAGTACACGTCATACAACACTGACACCTCACCTTGCACAGATCTTTATTCCTTTTACTCAATCTTTCTCTATTGATTTTTTCCTTTGCGATGGAACGTTTCAAAGTTTTCACTCTCTGCTTTTCTTTCGCCAACATATGTTCCATTTTCTTCGTTGTATTGGTCTTAGCTTTCAGAAATGCTTGCGTTGCTTCTTCCTGTACCCTTTCTTGGTATTCTTCTCGATATTTATTCAGCTTATCCGTGACAAAGTTTATTACCTTGTCAAAAGAAATTAAATATTATAAGTCAATCAAACTTTCAATGAATAAAGGGGGTAAGTTTCTAAAGAAACGGTGGTGCTGTGTCGGTAGGAGAGTATAACAGGTAAATTAGTGTTAACAACTGAGTTGAAAATGTAAATTGGCCACGGTAAAGAGTTTAAAGACTGACGTTAGAATGAGCAATCGCTCTGACGAAGGGCTAACGCTGGAAAAGTCAGCCTTTAAACTCTTTACGGTGGCCAATTTACGTTTTCAACTCAGTTGTTAATTAACACTAAATTACCAATCAAACTTACAGTTCACTTTCTAATATTCTCTCACTTAATTCCTCTCTTAAAAAATTTGTTTGCTTGTTTGACGATTGCATGCCGATTCAGGGCAGCATTCGTGCCCAACATAAAAAAGAATGAGACAGACTCTATGACTAAGTTAGTGTGTGGTGTATGTTTAACACAGTTTCGTTCAACCTGAATTTTTGTGAACAAAAAGGATATTTGGGCCACGGCATCGCACAGTTTCATATGATATTATTGAAAGAAATTTAAGGCTTATGTGTAAGCGATGAACAACTGCAGATTCCAACCAATTTAGTGCAGAGTCCATTACACGTACTTTATTTTACTTAAAAGGGTTTAAAAGAAACCTAATACTCATGAAATGGATTTTGAACAAAAATTTAAACCTACCCGAAAAAAAAAACAAACAAAACCAGCAACATGTTTTATTACTTAACAAATCACATTTTCAAACCAATTTTACCTCACCACCCTTTAGAGTTTCCTGATCTTGTTCTTGAATGTCCTGCAAGTAGGTACAGGATGTAAAAATAAATTCAAAACACTTTCATGGAAACAAAAATACAGAAATAAGAGTCTGTCAACATAAACAGCTGAGTTGTTTAGCCCAATAATGTAAAAAAATAAGTAAATAAATAAATATTTTTATAATATCAATCTTGATAGGAAACCCAAAGGGCCAGTTATTTAAACAAAGTTTAGCCATTGTTTAACAAAACTGCGTTCTAAGCCACCTTCGATTTACCCAAACGTTTTGTCTTAACTTTTATTTTTGTGAACAAAGTCAAAGTAAGGGCTCAAAGCTAAAAGTCCAAGTACATTTATTTAATTCAATCAACCCTCTCGCATAGAGAATCCCTGAGGCCCACTGCTTGCATAAAACCACAGTTTGGGTTAGACCTTGTGTAAATAACCAGCCCTGAAAGTTTAGAACTGTTTCCCAATGTGTCGCATAAGCAATACAGTGTTAAAGCTGATAAAGGGGGTAAGTTAGATCTAACATAACTGTGCTGCTGAGTCAGTAGGGAATATAACAAGCTAAGAAGGTTTTATCAACTGAGTTGATAAAGTAATTGACCACCATAAATGGTTGCTAAAGCTGGCATTTTGAACACTAGCATTTCATCAGAGCAAAGGGCTTATGCAGGGCTAATATGCTTGCAATGTCAGCTTCAGCACCCCTCAGAACCCTACACATACAGTGTCCAATTAATTTACATCTTATCAAGTCAGTTGATAAAACTAAATAATAGTGTTAAAATTTGTCACTCAAGTGCGAGATGAGATACATTTGGTTGGAAAATCGAATGAGATACATGTGTATGTTAGAATTTAAGGGCAGTAACATTAATTCCCATTGAAAGCAGAACTACTGTTATAGCACTTAGGTTGGCCACCATTGGTTACTGACATGCTTACCAACAGCTATAATTGCAAAATGTACATGTAGTGTCAAAACACACTTTCTTCCTAACATTAGTCAGCCATGTTGTTTTTGTATCAAGTGATATTTGGAAGTGTTGCTAAAGGATGGTAAACACTGTTGTAACCCCTGCTCCACAAGGCCATAACAGTAAAAATTACATGTATTAAAAATTGAACATATTTAGTAAATTAATTAATTGAATAATCTACCTCTTTTAATTTCTTACATTCAGCCTCCTTCCACTGGTTCATCTAAAATGTTTAAAATAAGGATTATTACTGCAAGATTAATCAAAAGGTTCTTAACTCACAAAGGTTACAAAGGAAGGATTCCCCCATCACACTCGTCATCTAAACAGCTACATGTATGCCATGTATGCAAGGCTCAAGCTATTAAGGAGAAGGAGAGGGAAGAGGAAAAGGGGACAGAAAAGGTAGAGGGAGAGATGTTGAGACAATGAGAGAGGTAAAAGGGAGAGAAGAAGAGGATAGGAAGGAAAGAAAGAGGGAAATAAATGGGAGGAAGAAGATCAAGGGGAATGAATGGCTCATTCCAAGCACCCAATCAGTGCAGATGAAAAAAATGGAGAACAAAATTGAAGGGAGAACAAAATGAAGAGGAGGTGGAGTTGTGCGAGATGTTTGATGTGATGAATGAAAAGAATGCCCATAAAGAGATGAAGAATGAGGAAAAGAAAGGAAAGAGGTTGTCTTGCACATCACCATATTGAAATGCTGTTATCTCAATCTTCATGACAACTCCTAGATATTATCCTTGCGGCTAATCCTGTTGACATTGCAAAAAATGCTTGCTGTCCATAGCTTCCCTCTATTGAATAACAGTATTCCTTAAATGCTTGTGGAAAACATACTGCTGTACAATGTGCTCAAATAAATGTAATTAATTAATAAATAAAACAAACCTGTACTAGTTTTCTTATCAACTCATTATTCTCGACTTCTCTGGCAGCACTTTCCTCTAAAAGTTGCTCAAACTATAAGAAAAAAGCCACGAGCCAATGACACACTTACATTAACAGTACACAAAACAAAACACAACATAATACAATGTTACCCTTGATGCCTGGTCCCCAGAGGGAAACATTTGAAAAATTACCCCTCACTCAAAGCAATAGGGGAACTATTTATCACAGAAATGTTTGGAACCTTAATTTAGCCACACCCATCAATCAATCTATCAATCAATCAATCATATGGGACCAATCTATCAATCAATCATCCTCTTCCTTCAAGGTCATGTGATCTATAAACAGCCAATAATATTCAGAGAAAGGGGGAACCATAATATAATTCATTAGGCTAAATTTTATAACCTGCAGGGTTTAACTGATGTGAAATCTATAAATACCAGAAATGCCAGATTTAAATTTAAATACCATTTCACGTGCTGTCCGTTCATATTGAAGGCTATGAAGGACTTCATCTCTAAATTGCTGTTAAGAAAAAAATGTACTTATATAAACTAAGGAATTTTGTCTCTTACATTTAAATTATAGTTTGACTTCTTGATATCCACAACTTGATTGAACAGAACTTGGCCTTTTTTGTACTTCGAAAAAATTGCAATTCTGAGCTGCTTTTTTTTAAAGTTACATTTAACTGTCTATATTAAGAATCTTAAGTAAAAATGGAAGCTATGGAAGCATAAGTTTACACATTTTAGATACAAAGTTACATGTAAGGCATCAAAACAAAACTCTGTAGAGGTGCAATCCAATGGCTACTTTTGCCACTAGAACAGATGGTAAAAACCACACATGCAATTACCCTTATAATTCACCCCCTCTCCCCAGAAGTTAATACACATTGGCAAAACAACTAAGCCTAAAAAAGAATACCTCCAAATTCTGAATTTCCTGTTTGTACTGGGAAACAATGTCAAGTTCTTCCGTCTTTTCTCTTAATTCCTGAAACCAGAAAAGAAGACTTTATTACAAGGCATACAAGGCATGGTGCAAAGCCTGCAAGACATAAAGACAAACTATAGAAACAATTTCCAACTGTCAGAAATGTATAACAATGCAACTACACATCCTTAATATTAACAACCTAAGGGATGACTGTATTTCTTTGTAATAATTGCTATTTTAGTGGAGAATATAGACTGTATTTCATCCCAATTATTTTGCTTATTGATCATGGGTTACAGTGGTTCCTCTCACATTCTACCTTTTATTCTTAATGCAATGTAGTATAACAGCTTTCTACTATGAAATAACTACATTATGAAAAAAGAAGGCATAGTATGTATGGGCATATTTGCATCATATAAATGCAGTAAAATGTTGCAAAATCCAAAGCCTTAAGAATAACAAGTGACAAGGATGCTCAATTCCCACAAGAAAGATTGTACAAGGAATGATTCTACACATGAACATGTTGAGAGATTGGGATAGAAAATCCATCTAAGTAGGGGAGAGAAAGTCAAAATTTGTTCGTTTGACGTAGACTTTGACCACAATCCAACAATACATTACTATAATACTTTTTATATTTCTGTGTAAAAAGGTTTCCTTAAAAACATGCATTTTGCAATGGCTCACATGCCTCGCATGCCTTGCCTTCTTGCTATTTGTAATTAAGAACCAGAAAAGAATGTTGAACATTTTATATAAATCAATTATATTAATATCTGGGTGCACCATTTGGAAGCCTAATAAATCAATGTTAGCAAAACAGTCAAGAGAGATAAAAATTAACAGTAACCATTAATCTAAAAAAATTATTGATAACATAACTTGCATTCATTAAATTTGATTTACTTTGTACTAAGGTTTTACTTTAAGATGCAAGATCAATTTCTATTTTGTTTTTGATGATCATCATAGTGAAATTGCATCACAAGGAAATTATAATTGAGAAAAATAAGTTTGTATGTACCTACCTTGACAAGAAACATGGCATTTTGATGTAAGTCGTTGTTGTCTGTTTTAAATTTTTCACATTGCTTCTCAAGAGACTTGATCAACAAGGTTGTTAAAACAACAATAGTTAGTCATAATTTATAAAAACTACTTGACTGTAGAAACACAAAGCAAAGTGGACTCAAGGGAAATTTAAACAAATTTATTCCTCCACCTGAGAAATGCTGGAGCAGTCTCTATTATAAGTTATCAGCTAGGGTGGTGTAATTTGTTGCAGTACAAATAATTAATACTACTAATAATTATTATTATTATTTTTTTAATCATTATTATCATAATAAAAATGTTACTAAATATTTGATCATATTTTCTTTACTTGATGAATAACACAAATAAATCTTATGATCCAGAAAAGTCTGATACTCAAATTAAAATGACATGCATAATTCTGAAAAATGCCAAATCTTCATACCAACATTTAGACCAAACTGTCATACATAATTTATTCATAAAATAGGCAAAAAGGTTCCTAATACCTCAATCTTACTCTCCAAATCCTCCACCTGACTAGTTTCCTTCTCCAGGTCCTTGAGAGAGGTGACATTAGTACATTAAATCGTGAAATTATTTTTGACAAAATAAATCAGAAGTGTAGTTACTGTAATAAAAACATTGAAGATAGGCTGCAAATCTTCCCAATACCTGAACTTTGTTTTCAAGAGCCTCAATCTGCCTGGCCTGATTCTCTTGGTCCTGCATTCAAGTGATATAAAGATCATTATAGTCAATATTTTCTTACTGTGAATCAAACATATCTCAAGATATTCTTGGTTGATTACGGGCCATTCTCTGAAATTAACTCAACAGAAGGAGAGAAAGAAAAGGATAGGAAGTAGAAGATGAAGGGGAAAGAATTATAACTAATTTCAAGAAAGTGACATGCTCAGGAACAACTATTATTTCAGAATGCAGTGTCAAAACACATTTTTCGTTTAGAAGTTAGTCAATGGTAAAGTTGTTTGTGTGTCACTGACAAGTGATATTTGGAAGTACTGCCAGAAGTAGGTCAATGCCTTATTGGAACCCTTATTTTATAAGGTAATTGTAGTAAATTAATATTAAATTGAACATATTTTGAATATTAAAAAAAAAATCTACCTCCTTTAATATATTGCATTCACCCTCCTTCCACTGATACATCTAAAATGTTTAAATGGAGAAAATTACTATTGATGAGTGTTTTGCACATCGCAACTTATTTGTATACAGTAAAATAATGTATGTTAGTTAACAAAACCCTGTTGGACTGGCCTTACACCAGGTGGAGGAGTTGGAAACCAGAATTGTTAGTAATGTTAATTCCTTTGTTCTTTTATAATATTTTCTTATTTAATGTTTTTTTTTTATTAGTGACCATGTAATGTATTTCCTTTTTCTCTGTAAATCGAGTATAAATTGAACAAAGCAGAGTTCTGCAATCTAAAACTTTCAATGTCTCTCCCAAAGGGATAGATATCCAATTCAATCAATAAGATTAATCAATATTCCTAAACTCCCACAGCATGATTACAAAGGATCATCACACTAGTCAAACATTTGAAAAGCTCTGCTAGAACGACAAGGGAAAGAAGAGGGGGAAGTATGGGGGGGCAGGAAAGGTGGATGAGAAAAAAAGAGGGGGGGGG